TGAGCGTTTAACACTTCTCAGTACCGACCAGGAGGGTACTGCACTGTAGATAGATACCACGGAGAATTTGTAGGTTGTAAATAGGAGGCATGAGATAGGCAAGCAAGGCCAGTGAGGCAAAGTAAGTTTCTGGGATTAGAACAACATGGGACGCTTTGAATGGAACCCAGCAGCCTTAAAGCAGAGCAAAGAGAATAGAGAATTCGGTCCTTGATTGGTCGGAATATTATAATCACAGCCATACAGAAGAAAAGCAGGGCAGCGTATAAAAGTGAAAGGAGAGAACTCATAAAGTTGTCCTCTGACCTCTGCACGGTATGCCTCTCCCTACCTACAGAGAGAGAGAGAGAGAGAGAGAGAGAGAGAGAGAGAGAGAGAGAGAGAGAGAGAGAGAGAGAGAGAGAGAGAGAGAGAGAGAGAGAGAGAGAGAGAGAGAGAGAGAGAGAGAGAGAGAGAGAGAGAGAGAGAGAGAGAGAGAGAGAGAGAGAGAGAGAGAGAGAGAGAGAGAGAGAGAGAGAGAGAGAGAGAGAGAGAGAGAGAGAGAGAGAGGAGAGAATAAAAAGTATAAAGGAAGAAAGCAAAAAGAGAAGCAGCAGCAATATGGTAGGTGGGTGAGAAAATGGTCAATAACAGTCACTGTTGCTGGAAAATGGAAGCAAGAGTAAAAGTGGCTTTGGGGTTTTGCAATGTAGAATCACCTAATTACTTTTACAAGAAAACTTCTGCTATCTGAGGCCCCATTATGTGCCATTTCCAGTTCTAGACTGTGATTTTAAAACATGAAAATGTGCCCTAATTTATACTCTAGTGGGAAACGAGCCAAATAAATAATGGGTGCCCTGAAGAAGAAAGTAGCTGATGTGATGGGCATTGCCGTAATAAAGAGAATTGTTAGATCAGATCCTCTCAGAAGCCAAGTGGAGCTGGGATCTAAAAATGAGGCTACTTGGGGGGGGGCTTTCCTCCTCTCTATTGGCACAGTGGAGAACCTTCTGTGGCCTAATGTGTTCTGGAAGAATTTGTCTATACAGCCAAGAGTTATCAATTGAACACCACTCTGCTGTCCTAAACATCATTTCAATTCTGATACATCTGCTGGGAGGTGGGGTCAGATCTCATCGGTTCAGGGCTAAGTATATACAGCTACCCCATAAGTCAGGTGCCAGTCTCAAATCCCACGCAGTGACAGGCAATTCTCACCCACCAGCTGTAATTAACCATTTCTCTGACACACACATACTCAAAGAAGTTTATCTGGACCGTGCATCGGAATAAAATGAAGGAAAACTATATGGGGGGTCATGGGTAGGAAGAATAAATAAACCAGCATTAATCAACTGACCAAAAGGACCTTGTGGTACATAGGAGTTCACTATACTACTGTTGGTACTTTTCATATACAGCATTTGAATTTTTCTACAATAAAAGTTGTTTAAACAAGGACTAAAAAGCTTTGTCTGGGTTGGTCTGTAAGAATTAGAATGCCCAGCTAATAGTGATGAAAAAAGGTAATAGATATCTTTTAAAGAATTGTTTATGAATACATGTGAATGCTTTCTTACATGTATGTTTCACACATATATGTGCCTGGTGTCCTCAGAGGCCAAAAGATGGATCTCCTGCAACTGGAGTTACAAATGGTTGGAAGCCACTGTGTGGGTGTCGGGGACCAGATCCTTTGCAAGAGCAGCAAGAGCTCTTAACCATTGAGGCATCTTGTCCAGTCCCAGTCAAACATATCCTAAAGTATTAGATGCACAACAGTTGCCCAATAAAGAAGTATTTCCTCTTACCCATCCCTGAGGATTAATTTCAGAGGTTAAGTCATGAAAGAATTCACTACTATGTGTTATGTTTAAAGAACACTTAAATACGTAACATTAGCAAACATAAAGGATTTGCCTGGAAAACTGCAAATAACTCCCTTTGGGAACAATGATTTTCAAGTCATAGTTTGCATGGCAATTGTTCAAGATGCATATTAACATTTTAGGTTTCTGGGCTTAGTCTACAAAAGTTTCTAATTCAGATCACATAAAGTAGGACCCACAAGTTTAAAAAGCATCCTGAAGAATTTTGTTATAGGTGATCTTTGAATACAACATTGAAAACACCATTTTTAAGGTCTCAAGTTTCCAGTCCCTAAGCAATATCATGAAACCAAATGAGTCATTTGAGTGATGAATGGTGACTTGTTGGTTTGTTTTTTGTTTTTGTTTTTTGTTTAGTCCACTGGTTTTTGTTCCTTAGACATTATCAGGATACCCAAATAGGCCTTTAAGTGATTATTGCAGTGTGTTTTGTTTCGTTTGCATTTTTGCAAACCGAATTCCCTGGGAAAGTTAAAGGGGGGCAATGCCCTTTAATTCAGTGACTATGGGAGCAAAAGTATATAGAAGCCTCTGACCAGATAAGCAATCTGACTTTCCCTTTGATGTCATTAAAGATATCTAATGCTCAGTACATTTGTATTCCAAATAAATTAGGGAATACAATTAAAGTGCAGGAGCTTCTGGAGGATACCTCATGAAGTACTTTCTAAATGCATTTCCTCAGGGCCAAGCTACAAGCCTTCAAGGTGAATCTATTACTTTCCAACCACAGTCATCACCACTGACCAGCAACATACACACAACCATTCCTGCTTTTGAAGATGGAATGCCACAGAACAAAAGGAGAGCAGGTGTAGTGGTGACATTTGAAATGGAATCATTGACTTCTCCACAATTTTGTGTCTGGAGTTCACAATGCCAGAAATATAGATGAGCACCTTTGGGTCTTGTGTGGAAATGTCAGAATTTTATCGAATAATATAAATTCACCAAGTTTAGCAATTTCTTTTTAAAAATGATTAATTTAGTGTTTTTACTGCAGGTGTGTCTGTGTGAGGGTGTCAGATCTTATGGAATTGGAGTTACAGACAGTTTGAACCACCATATAGGTTCTGGGAATTGAACATAGTTCCTCAGGAAGAGTAGCCAGTGCTCTTAACCACTCAGCCATCTCTCCACCCCAAGTTTACTGATTGTAGTGGTAGAAATTTGCCATAAAATCTGCCTACCTTGTTGTCTTGGGCTAGGTGAATTCAAGTTCCTTATTCCAGTCTTAAGTACTAAGGTTAACTCAAATACACTGCATCATACAGCCATACACTTACATGTCTCTTTACATTCACATGGGTTACAGCATGAACACTTGTTAAAGAGACTGAAGCAGCGCTCACGGGGTTTCAGGAGTGAACCAAGTTTGAATTGCTAAGACATAGCACCAGACCAGTGCTGGTGGCAGTCGGGTTCCAGCAAGAAGCTGCAGAAAATCAGCCTCGGTGTGAACAAGACCACTGGATCCAGAGCAGGAAATGGAGTATCAGGTCCCAACCAATTACTAGACAGCCAGTGGAGTAGGCTGGGTCAACAGCGGGGGACAGTCAGGAAGTCCTTGGTCCTTGACATGCACACCAGGCCTATGATAGTTGTCTAGAGCATCGCAGTGTTAAGTATCCAACATTTTATGGGGTTCAGGCAAGAGTATACTCTTTTCACAATCTTTTCTGTCCCATAAACTCCTAGACCTGGTTTCCCTGATATGACTTTAATATGCCCTGCCTCCTAGTTTCAATTCTCCCCGATAAATTTATAGGATGACCCCCTTTCTGTCTGTGCAGATACAAGTTCCAGAAGTTCCTAGATAGGGACTACACAAATCTGACCAACCCATTGGCTCCTCTCTCCAACTTTCCAAGCTCCCTACTCCATTTGTAGACAAGGTACACCCCCCACACACACACACACTCCACACCAAGACACACACAAACCAACCAACCTCATGTGTCCATTAATAGAACGCAGTCAGACCAAAGCAAATGACTACCCTTTTCTTTTCATAGGTATTCCTAGGATAAAGTTTTCCTCTGCCTTCTTAATTAGCTTCAGTGACTGAGGCTGGCATGGTAAGCAGCCCTCAGGTGGGTTTAAAGGGGAAAGAGTATTTCACTGGCCTAGCAGGGCTCCAAAGAAGGGAAAACCCAATCGCTAGATCTGGGAGCCAAAGGGCATTTTAACGAAAGGCAACACTAAATGAAAGAAGTGTGGGCTTTCAGAGGGAAACTAACAAAGGCTATTTTTGTAACATTTCTGCAGACTCCAATCGGTGCTGCCTATAGAGACAGCTGTCTCTTCCTCCGAAATGAAAATATTTACAAGTGGGAAAATTTGTGTTGCAAATATCTTTTTATGTCACACGGGGAAGTTCCTGTTACCTTTGCAAGGAGGATCTTATGCTCTTATTTTGTATAGAAAAGACAGCAGACAATTCCTTCCTGTGTCCTTTTATATTGATTTCAGCTAAAGAAACCTTTATGCCACAGGGGTATATTTTGGAGTGGAGATTCTTCTACTAGCGATTATCTTCGTTGCACTTTTACTCTTTTTTTTTTTTTTTTTGAGTACTCTCCCTTTTTAGTCTGCAAACAACCCGATGGCAGAAACTACATCTGGTTTTGCTCATCCCAAAGCCTACTCCGGTTCCCCATGATATGTGCGGGAAGCTTACAAACATATATTGGATCTCTGCAGGGCGCTCCCGCCCCCATCCCTTTTGTCACAGAGAAGAGAGCGATCCTCACAGACTCCCAAGAGGATAATGCATCTTTACTATCCCCGTCCATAGCTTGGCCCGCTGGGGAGTGGGGAGAGTTCTCATCTGTGTAGGAACCCAGGGAGAGCAGCCGAGACCACCCACTGCCCGAGTCACAGACTGGCTGGTGGAGGGAGAGATGGGCTCGCCGTGCAGAACCTGAAGTGATCCCGCAAAGACACCGCCTGCGTGCGTCTTCACGAGCTCCCCACGCGCCCTTCCCGAGACCGCGGGGGCTTCGGGGTGGGGGCGCCATCCCTCCCGGTCGGATGGGAACCGCAGGCCGGGCCCCCCGCACGCCGCAGCCGGCCCCGCAGCGCCGGAGGAAGGCGGGCCCCGAACCGGCCCCGCGCGCCCCCCACGCCCCCGCGCGAGCGCGAGCCTCAGGCGGAAGTGCTGCGTCGTGCACTTCCGGGTGTTGTCTGGCCGCCGTCGCGCGTCTCGGGTCTCCCGGCCACCGCCCGGGTCGTGGAGGCAGGAGCGACGTCACCGCCATGGCGGGCATCAAAGGTGGGCCTGGGGCGCGGGGCCGGGGGCTGCGGGGGGGGAAGGGGGAAGGAGGACGGCGTGGGGGCGACCCCGCCTCGGCTCCTCGAGCCGTCGCGCTCCGCCCCTGGACCAGAGCCGGGCAGCCCGGCCACCGAAGCGTTGTGAGCGAGTTTGCACCCAGAGACATTAGAGGGCTGCCATCGGGAGGGATGCCCGGCCCCGCACTTCAGTCGGGGTAGTTTCCCACCCGAGGCACGAGCGCGGTCCTCTCCGAAGCCTGGCTCCTGCATCCGCTCCCGGGTCCCGGTGCACCATCTTTCCCTTGCCTCTAAATCGGATGCATCTCGGTATTCGGTGTTTTACGTACGGTGCAGCAGAGCCCGGATGCTAACCAGAAGTGCTCCTGGCTTCCTTACCACCCACAGTTGCACGTTGACACTTTTTTAAGTTGTGATTTTTGTTTTGTTTTAAAGATAAGGTAGCTAACACCTTGATAAAAGATTACTTGTGTGTTGCATTCTCGGGAGAGACGCAATGTTGCTCGGTAGTCTTGCCCCTGGGGTTAGAAGGAAAGTTTTCGGTTTACTTATCGGCGGATCACTTTGATTTCTTGACCTGCTTTGTAGAAGAGACAGCCAAGCAGGAAATAAACAGTTGGATAGTTATGCCTCCCACCTCGCTGGAAAGGGCGACTTCGGTTGAGCTTTTTCCCAGGGTCACATTTTTTTTCCTGGCGTCTTGTTTATTCACGGTGCCTGAAAAACGTTTCGTTTCCCATATAAGAACCCTGTCATCTGAGCAACTGGGATACTTTCAGATCTCTTTTTGAACTATAATAGGCCCTTTCAAATCCTAATGTGAACGGAAGTTACTGTAAAATGCTGCAGTTTTTAGGATGTTGCCCGTGTCCCTTTCCTATTTCTTCGGTATCATTAATGGGAGAGTCTTAACAAGAAAATGGCTTTATGATTCTCCAAATGTGGGTAATGTTAACCTAGTGACAATGACTCTAACGGAATTTTACTTACTTTTTAAGGACTTCAGAGGGTTTTAAAAGTTATGATTGTTCGTCAAGATTTTCTTCCTGTTGGCTTTTATATTGCCTTTATATCGAGAAGTGTAGCCGTAGAGATCATTATGTATTTTTTAATCGGGTTGCCTGTTACTTTGTGATAAATTATATTCTCTGCTAATTCCCAGACTGGGGAACTTGACCCCACACCTATGTCTGTGTAGTCACAGAGCCGGCATCATCTTGTCTCTAGAGAATTTTTGCTAGGTAATTGGGCTGTTCCATCCCTGGCCTGGAGGCTTTGGGAGTAGAAACCACACTCCTGTTTCATCTTTCAAATGTTGCATCACTCAATTACTGTGTGAATTCTTACCGTACTGGTGTGTCACTTAAGACACACATAAAGTAAGCCACCTAGTTGCCAGTGTCGTAAGTCTGAAGAAACGTGCCTGGTTTGGGGGGCGCTCTGGACAGCTTTCATCTGCAATGACTTAAGAGATGAGGTGTCACACGCAGTTGCTTCTGAGCACCTTCTACATATTGAATCTGTTGAATGCATAGAAATATGGCCCTAGGGTATCGCGATTCCCCAGACAGTTCCACAGGGCTTGATTTTTCACATGTGAGTGTTCAAAAGGAATTGGATCTTGTATAGATAAATGCATCGGTAATTTTATGGGCTGGAGAGATGGCTCAGTAGTTAAGAGTGCTTACTGCTCTAACAGAAAAGTCAAATTCAGATCCTAGCACCCCCACACACACCCAATAGCTCACAAAAAGCCTGTAACTCCAACTTAGTAGGCACCTCACTGACACAATACAAACACATACACACACACTAAAATATTTTAATTTTTTAATTTAATTTAAAATATTTTCAAATAATTTTTTACAGTATCTGTAGTAGAAGCTTATATTTTAAATGCTTTTTCAGTGCCAAAACCTTATCTTTTGGTCTTTTGGTTCCTTGATTTTTTTTTAAGTCCTAAACATTAACTTTTGTATATTTGGGTTTTTTTTTTTTTGAGACATTATGTAGTCCAGGCTAACCTGGAACCCACAGTCAACACTGCAGGTTACTAGGGTCATGGGCTTGTGCCACCACACTTAGCTTCTCGTTGACTCTTTTGTTTTCATTAAACTGAGCTTTATTTTAGTTGGGTGTGTGTGTATGATATGTTTGTTTGTTTGTTTCAATATAGAGCTTCTCTGTGAAGCCCTGGCTGTTTTGGAACTCTCGGTAGACCAGGCTAGCCTCAGACTCAGGGATCTACCTGCCTCTGCCTCTGGAGTTCTGGGATTTAAAGTGTCTGCCACCATGCCCAGCCCTGTTTTTATTTTTATTTTTATTTATTTATTTTTTTAATTTTAGATTTTTCGAGACAGGGTTTCTCTGCGGCTTTGGAGGCTGTCCTGGAACCAGCTCTTATAGACCAGGCTGGTCTCTGCCTCCCGAGTGCTGGGATTAAAGGCGTGCGCCACCAACGCCCGGCTTTATTTTTATTTTTTAAGGGATAAAATTTGCACATTTGGCATCTCTTGGTGGTAAGCACCTCTCCTGCTGGGTTTGGAAGACACACACACACACACACAACCAGCATCACCATCGCCACCAAAAAAAAAAAAAAAAACCACACACAACAAAAAAACAAATAAAATCTTAAGCCAGGTATGGCAGTCCATGTTTAGCACTCAGTAGGGTGAGGCAGGAGGAGGAGGTGTTCAGGGGAGCCTGTGCTACATGGCCAGTCCTGGGCCAGTGTGGCCTACACCTCAAGATGCTGTAAGGAAAGGAAAAGGTATAGTTCCTGTGCTCAGAACCAAAGTTAGAGCCCAGAAATGCACCCCCAGAAACCACTGTTACTTGTGTCTTACAATGTGAAACTTTGGTAAGTCTGATATTTTGTTTCCCACGTTGAAATAAATTAGAAGTGGATGAAAGTCTTGCCTGCAGTCAACAACTGCCCCCCATAGGAGACTGGGGAACCACTATAAGGAATTCAGTGTCTCCTGTACAGATGCACAGTGTGAACTTAGCTGTTTGTTGGCTGCATTTCAGAGCGCAGAGGTGTTTTTCTTCGGAATGTCTTTTGTAGTATCTTCGGTGTTTAGGGACTCGCTTGCCTTTTCCATACAGTCCTTCTCGTCTGTAGAAAGAAGAGCTGAGTTAGATTAGTTATGGAGGTAACATGTCAATGGTTAAGTAGAGGTCAGAACACAGTGCTGTTGGGATCCTCCCCCTCACATGTCCTGGGTTCTGGGGCTGCATTCACTCCATAGTCGTTATTGGGTGTTAAAGTTGGAGCATGAGCATCAGAAACGGAAGAGGAACAATTGGGAAGGCGAATGGGAATCCATTTGGGTTGCAGCTGTGATGACTAAGCCAGGACTCACATGTGCCTCTTACTCCTTGACTCTGTCCAGTTGTTGCCTCCTCAATGACGCCTTGTGAGGTCATCTGCATCCCCCACCCCCACCCCTTAGCCTACCTGCTTGTATTCACCACTGGCCTTTTTTTTTCATCTTCAGCTTCTTCCAGAATTCATACTCACTGAACAAACAGAGTGTTCAGTGTCCCTTTTCTCATTAATTCCATTGTTGTTTATCGAGCGCCCACTGTACACCAGCTACTACCCAAAATCCTGAGGATACAGAGATAAATAAAATGGGAATTCATCCTTAAAGGGTTCCCATTTTTGCAAGAGACTATAAGTAATGCCCATGGACACGTAATCCTGTTCAGGGGACAACTCAATTAAGAAAGTGAAAATACAGAGGTGAGTAGGCTCAGCAGCCATAAAATTGATGCATACTCATTGCTTGCTTGTTTGTTGATTTATTGATTTTTGAGGTAGGGTTTCAAGTAGCCCAGGCGGGGCCTAAACTCTAACTCAGCATATAATCAAAGCTGGCCATAAACTCCTGGTCCTCCCTGCTTCCACTTCCCAAGTGCTGGGATTACCGGCGAGCACCACCACACTCGTTCATTATCTTACGGGCTAGCCAGATGCCTCCTCGGCATCTGCACACACAGATAGCATAGCAAATGAAATGGGATGATTTTAAAAGCCTGCCTGATTCTCCCACTAGACTGTGTATGCCACGAAAGTACAAGCTTTGTTTTCCCTCTCATTGTTGTGCCTTCAGTGGCAGGGACCATGTGGCCCAAATTGAATGCTCAGTGTGTTTGTCGTATGCATAAATGTTATGTATTCACGCAGCAGTCCTTGGGGGTTGAATCCAGAACCTCGTGTACGCCGGGCAAGCACTGTACCACTGAGCCAGACCCTAGCCCCTCCGTGAGTCAGTAAGTCATAAACACAGTAGCAGAGTTGGCATAGCTCCGAGGAAGAGATGCTTGAGAGGAGAGCTGAAGGGAAAGCAGAAGAGAGAGAGTGGGGTGGGAACACAGGCTCTAGGGGCTGAAGGGAGCTGTATGCGTGACGTCATTCACTTCCTGAATGAATGAAAACTCTTGAGGTGGGATGCCAAGCACGCACAGAGGCATTGCAGGTGAAGGAGCCGCTGGCCTCCAAAATAGGAAGGAGCGGTACAAGAAACCAGGAGGACATTACTACCTGTGTGGTGTGTCAGGGACTGTAGACGGGGTCACAAGGGACAGAAGGGAAGACAGTGTTCTCCTGTAGCTACTGCATTCCCTGTAAACCCGGGATGCTCTGTTTGCTGTTTAAAACACTAACGTTTCCTTGACTTTCCCCCACTGTCGCTGGGAATATAAAGTATAGTGATGTTAAACTAAGTACACTGTGTTCATGGTGACCTGAATCACGTTGTAGTCAGCATTCCAGCTGACACCCAGTTGGCCAAGACAGTGTTAACGGCCATCTTGTCAGTAGTATTACGGGGTGTCTGACCCCTCACCACTAATTTTTGTATGTATGCTGTAGTTTTCTACTTGGCAAATCTTAGATTTCCACTTACCTTTTGGATTTTAAATTTTTCTGTGAAGGTTAGAGAGTACCAGTTTTTAAAAAGTTACTTTCTGGGCCTGTGAAATGATTTAACATGTAACCCCCAAAAGCCCCAGAATGGTGGAAGGAGAGAACAGCTCCTTTAAGTCACCCTCTGACCTCCACTAGGACACACAATAAATAAATCTAAAAAAAGAAATTAATAAATCTTACCAAGTCATTTTCTTAGCTGTTGGAGATGTAGAAATGTAGGCTATGAGCCGGGTGTTGGTGGCACACACCTTTAATCCCAACACTCAGTTGGCAAAGGCAGGTGGATCTCTGTGAGTTCGAGGCCAGCCTGGTCTACAGAGCACGTTCCAGGACAGCATCCAAAGCAATACAGAGAAACACTGTCTCGAAAAACAAAAACAAAAAATTTAAAAAAAAAATTGCAGGCTATGTAGAAATAAATAGATCACTTTTCTCTTGGTTGAAATCTCGGTTGTTGGTTATATATACCAAAGCTGTTTCACGTTAATGAATAGCAGCCATGTGTGGGAGCTTCAGAGGTACGTCTGACTCTAGAGCACGTCCTCTCCCTGTGGTAAGGCTGTGGGGCCATGTCCACATCAGGCTGTACTGTTACCCTACAGATTTCCTGGGATTTGGGAACTCCGGACCAAAATAACTATGCTTCTGTAACCTGTTTAAAGACTAACAAAATTGGGCCTGGAGAGATGGTTCTGCAGTTAGGAGCACTGATTACTCTTCCAGAGGACCTGGGTTCAATTCCTAGCACCCACATGGAGTTACATGTCTGTAACTCCAGTTCCAGGGAATCCAACACCCTTACAAATGAACATGCAAACAACACACATTTAAAAATGCACATAAAATGAAAATTATTTTAAAAACTTAAAGTTAGAGGAGTTTCTTTGTTTTTTGTTTTTGTTTTTTTTTTTTCAGATAGGGTTTCTCTGTATTGTTTTGGAGGCTGTCCTGGAACTCACTCTGTAGACCAGGCTGGCCTCAAACTCACAGAGATCCACCTGCTTCTGCCTTCCGAGTGCTGGGATTAAAGGTATGCGACACCAACACCCAGCCAAGTTAGGTATTTTTTAAAGACTAACAAAATTGACCGATTACACTAATTAACTATAGGCAGGTTGTTACAATGAAGTCTATGTAGTAAATCTCTGGCATTTCCTTAAAAAAAATAACAAGGTAGGCATGGTGGCATATACCTTTAATCCCAACACTTGAGAGGCAGAGGCAGATGGATCTCTGTGAGTTCGAGGCCAGCCTGATCAACATAACAAAGTCTGTGAGGACTACACAGTGAGACCCTATCTAAAAATAATTAAAATGAAAAATGCACGTCATCATAAATTACACACACCCTTGGACAGCCTTTCTGTCGGTTTCATGCTTTTGCATATCTATTTTAGTGAGGCTTTCCCTCCCTCTCCCTCCTGCCTTCCCTTTGTGTGTACTCTTGTGGTTCTCTTTTGGGGAGGCTTCTCCCCCCCGGCCCGCCCCCCCCCGGCCCCCGACCCCCGTCCCCATCCCTTGCTCCCCTCCCTTCCCTTTGTATCTTTGGGATTCTGTTTTGATGAGGCTTTTATGCCCCTTCTCCCTTCCCTCCTTCCTCCCTTCCCTGTTGTTTGTGATGCCTGTGGAGGTCAGAGGACACCTTTATAGACTTGGTTTTCCCCTTTCACTTCTATGTGGAGTCCGGGAATTGACCTAGGGTTATCAGTCTCCTGTAGCAAGTGTGTCGCTCACATGTGGATTAAGTAGAATGTTTGTGCTGGGGGTGGGATGGGTGGAAGGACATTAACTCTGTGTGCCTTAATAGTCCTGAGCTATGGAACTGTTAGTTGGGGTGTATGCTATGTGTTAGCACTAGGTCTTAGCACTAGGTCTAAACTGATGTACAGGTTAGAGTTTTTGGAAGCAAATATATTTCAGCTTGTGGATTTCCTCCAATTTGGGAATATTCAAATGGGGGACAAGGTGCTTGTTAGAGACAGGTTTTCACTATGTACTCCTGATTGTCCAGGAACTCACTATGTAGACCAGAGTTTCACCTGCCCCTACCTCCCTAGAGCCAGGATTAAAGGCCTGTGTCAGCTGGCCTGCCTGGCATTCCAGAGTCAGAGCCTTTCTAAGGGTTGGGGAGGAATCTCAACCTGCAACACTTTTGTTTTGAGGATGCTGTAGAGGCTTGTTCTGAGACTATAATTGGCTGTTTGAAGACGGTTCACATTTTGTTTTGGTTTTTGAGATCGGTTCTTACTCTGTAACTCAAGTGGACCTTCTTAGCTTGTAGTAATCCTTCTGCCTCAGTCCCTTGAGTGCTGAGATGACCAAGTATGAGCCACTCCTGCACTATGGGATGGTTCACTGTTAACAGCTGGGATTTCGAGGGGAGCTGGAGTGTGTTTCACTTCTGCGAGTCATATAGCGCCCCGACTGGCATGGGCATGAAGGAAGGTAGCACTCGTGTGGCTTAACTGACTGAGCTCTCTGGGGCTTCTGTTTGTTTTGCAGCTCTAATTAGCTTGTCATTTGGAGGAGCAATTGGCCTGATGTTTTTGATGCTTGGATGCGCCCTTCCAATATACAAGTATGTGATTGTCTTTTTCCCTCTTTGAATATTTAAAGTTTTTAACATCTTTGTTTTCTACAAGTAATGCAGGAAAATGTTCATTTACCAAAAAACCCTTTTCTAAAAATCGTCGCTTAAAGTTTATTTGTAAAGATACTAGAATGCCAAGGCAGAGAGATTTTGGCTCTGACCTGTTTCTGTAATGGTCTGGTGACAGCAACTCAGTCCTACTGGCCATCAATAATACTCCAACAAAATCTAACACATCTTATTACAGAAAGTATGATAGGCAACTTGTGAACACAACTAACTAAAGACACAATGTAGGTGATTTCTTTCCCCAGAACAGAAAGAACTTTCTATTGAGACATTGTCTCATTACGTAGCCCGGACTGGCCTCACTCACAATCTGTCTGCCTCAGCCTCCCAAGTTCACCATGCCCAGTTCAGAAAACTTTTAAAGTTTTAAAGATACAAAGGAGTAGAAGTGAACCCCATACACAAGGAGAGGATTGTGTCGCTGGTAAGCACATGAAAACATACTAAATCCCACTCAACACTCCCTGAAATCTACCGGGGAAGATCAAGGAAGTGGGCAGACAGGCACTGCTAAGTGCCAGGGGGACTGAGTCGGGCAGGGGTTTAGGAAGTGAGTAGCTGCCGTTTCTTGGAACTAGTTTGCCTGTATCTTGTAGTTCATGGAACTGGCCCTCTCCTTCTTAGAAACCCTCATACAAATCCACTAGCAAATGCTTGCAGAGATACCTGTAGTTAGGTTAGAATGTTGCTCTTCACATTCTGTAATAGCAGAAATGGAAAACTGGTGACATCCCAAATGTCCATCCAAAGCTAAATTATGGTGAGAGAAATAGTGTAGTGGACAAAGCACTTGCAGCAGAAAAGTGAGGCCTGAGTTCAACTCCCCAGGACCCAGGTAATAGCTGAGTGTGGTAGCACATGTCTGTATAGCACTGTAGTCCCAGTGTTCCTCTGATGAGATGGACAGTGAGGACAGGAGAATCTGAAAGGTTTGCAGGCCAGGATAACCTGATATACACACCAGCAAACAGCCTGTCTCAAACAGTGCAGTAGGTAAGAATTGACACCCAAGACTGTTCTCTGACATCCATCCACACACTGTGGCGCGTGCGCACATGTACACACACACACACACACACACACACAGAGCTAAAATATAAAGGCTGAAGACACAGTTCAGTTAGTAAAATGCCTGTGTGTAAGCATGAGGACTGCTTGCCAAACCCCAAACCCAGGTGCAACAGGTGAGTATGGTGTTCCGTATTTGTAAGCCCAGTGATAGGAGGTGGAGACAGCCTCGCCTATTTGGCAAACCCCAGCCAGTGAGAGACCCTGTGTCAGATAAAAGTGGACAGTGCCTGAGGAGGAACAATGCCCAAGGTTGTTTCTTGACCGTCTTACCAGTACCCATGCACACACATACACATACTTAGCGCACCATACAAACATACACATACCAAAGACCAGATTGAATTATTGTGGGTTCTTGAATGACAATATTAATTAGCCTTAAGGAGTGAGGAAGGATTGTAATGCTGTTGTATAGAGTTCTGCCTTGGTTAGATTTGTGTGGATTGTGGAAGGTCCACAAAAGGCTTCTTAGAAAGTTAAAAAAAAAAGGGGGGGGGTTAGAAAGCTTCTGGTTTTAACTATTTTTGTATTTCTATATTGTTTGAATTTTTTCTTAAACATATATTCCATTTAAAAAGGTTTTGCTCTCTTGCGGCGCTTAGGAAAAGACTAAGAAAAACAAAACGGGCTGGAGAGATGGCTCCGTGCTTAAGAGCCCTGGCTGCTCTTCCAGAGGTCCCAGGTTCAGTTCCCAGCACCCTCATGGTGCCTCACAACCGTCTGTAACTCCAGCTCCAGGGCTGTAACAGCTTCTCCTGGCCTCTTTGAATAATTCATGCACGTGAAGCACATACATTCATGCAAAACATTCCCACAGAAATAAATCCTTTTCACGACAGGAAAATATAACAGGTAGCTCCAGCAAATGTCCACTATGTATGTGTTTAAACTTTTCAATTTTAAAGACCGTTTGTTTCTTGTAATTTTCTAATATACTGTTAAAATGTGACAAAGAGGTGGAGAGAGCTGTCTCCTTCACAAAGCTTCCCCTAGTGCGGTTGCCAAAGCCAGAAATGAGATCAGTGCAGCATGGCTAACAACGAACTAAAAACTGTGTTTTCCAGCACTATTTTCAGTTAGTGTCCTATATTTTGGTTTCTATTAAGGGAAGCATGGTATTTTAACATTATGATAAAGCAGGATGTCAAAGGCATGGATCTTTAATTTTTAAAGTTTTGTGTAAATATTCTTATTTTCAACATGCCTCCTTATTAAGTTAAAGTAATTTTTTAAACTTTGGTCATTATTTCATAAATCATTTTGTCAGTAGACCTTGTAAATATTATATTTACATAATTCAATACAGGGATAAATTGACTCTAAAATTCTCCTATGAGCTTGTGGCTTTGTTTTCAGCTGTATCTTGTTTGACACCTCGCAATTTTCCTTTGGTCTTTAAGCAGACACGGATTTAATATGTGGGAAAATGACCTAGCTGACCAAAACTGCATTAACTTCTTTTTTTCTTTTCTAGCCAATACTGGCCCTTGTTTGTTCTGTTTTTTTATGTCCTTTCGCCCATCCCATACTGCATAGCAAGAAGACTAGTGGATGACACGGATGCCATGAGCAATGCTTGTAAGGAGCTCGCCATATTCCTCACGACCGGCATTGTTGTCTCAGCGTTTGGACTCCCTGTTGTGTTTGCCAGAGCACATCTGGTAAGTTGCCATGTTGTGTGAATTTTTTTTATCAGACTGTTCATTTTTTTCTGAAAAGTTTTGTCACATAAAAGAGAGACCTGAGACATTGGGATGTAGTGGACAGATGGAAACCTCAGCTTTGTTTGTTCTTTGTTGGGGTGAAACTGTTGGAGGGTAAGGCTTGGGTCTGCAACAGAAAGGGCACCCATGGCCTGCCCTGTGAGACCTGAGCAGTGGTCGTCAACCTTCCTAACATGTCCTCATGTTGTGGTGACCCCCAACCCTAAAATTGTTTCGTTGCTACTGCATAACTGTAATTTTTCTACTGTTATGAATCATAAATATCTGGCATGCAGGATATTTGATATTCAACCTATTTGAAAGGGTTGTTAGACAACTTCCAAGGAGTCGCTACCCCCAGGTTGAGAACCACTGGCCTGAAGGCTACACATGAGAAGGTTGTTCTCTGCGGCTGGGAAAGGAAGAAAGAGCAGTCACACCGCAGCTCTGAAAGGGTGGAGACTAGCCACACTTCAAGTGATTGAGGCAGTTATGCCCTCAGCCCGTTTCAGAGGAAGCAGAGTACGTGCTTAGGGTTCCGTCTTCACCTTAACAAGATTTTTAGGCTCACTGAGAAAGAGTAACTTTCTTTGTAAGCATTAACCGAAGAATTCCATGTGGCCCTAGGGATCCACCTCAGGGGCAAGGTGCGTCCTAGGCTCACAGGGCGCTGGGGTGGACCCTCAGAAATGCAGGCAGCGCCAAACAAAACTCTGATGCTCATTATTGAAGTTAAGGTTGTTCCGGAATAATTACCAGCCCCTCACTCTCTACTTTTCAGTCAGTCGATGACAAATAAAAACACTATGGGAATGTTGTACTGTGAAGTCATTACAAGCCACATTGCTTACGATCAGCATCGGCCAGTGCAAGAGCGTTGGTTTGCTCCTCGTGGCCGTCACTTGGCACACCTGCTGACTGTTGCTTTCTTCCTGCCGCAGATTGAGTGGGGAGCGTGCGCACTGGTTCTCACAGGAAACACAGTCATCTTTGCAACTATCCTGGGCTTCTTCTTGGTCTTTGGGAGCAACGATGACTTCAGCTGGCAGCAGTGGTGAAAGCAGCTGCTGAGCTGTCGCCACATGGACTTCTGTCGTCTGCTGGCCGCCCATGCGCAGCAGACGGGGACCGTGATGCTGAGTTGTGTAGCGAGCTCCTTCGGGTGTCCCAACCACTCCCTTCTCACTATTGTACGCCTACTGTTTCCACGGGGACTTGATGAGGATTAAAAGGATTTTTCTCTTCTGGAAAAGCTTGACTGGTTTCCCACGTCTCTAGACTGCTTTCTGTGGTGTCCTGCTGAATCTAAAATACTCACCTGTTTTCCCTGGTCAGTTGTTTTTAAATCAGTATGCAATGTTAAACATTTAAAAAATGTAATGACCATTTGCATTGGTTTAGAAATTCAGAACTTCTGGCTGTATTATGGGCTAAAGTACATATTTTCTCTAAAAATCATTTAACCTCCATTATAATATATATATATGTATGTAAGTTTTTTCAGTCAGGATGATATCATTCCCAGGTGAATGCAAACATTCAGATTGTTGACATACCTTATACACTATTTACTCAGTGCAAAATAGCCGCATTTATACCTCAGGGGGGGGCCAAGTCATACTGCCCATGCCCTCTATAAGGGTTACTGGTTTTACTAGTGGACAGGTGTTCTGTGAACTGAAAATTATTTTATGGAATTGCTACAGAAGAGTGCTCTTCTCTTCGATTGTTAGAATTTATGTTAAACTTTAAGGTACAAGTGAAAAAACACATCTGGGGATACAGTTTATATTTGTGTTTGTTGCCATCAAAGCAAGTGAGAAGAAGCGAGGCTGAAATCCCCGGTTTGAGTGCCGCTTCCATTTCTAAGTGATGAGTCTGAGCTTCGTTGGCCTCCTGTGGTTCAGAGGGTGCCGCAGACAAGCATGGGACAGTTATGTGTTTGCATTGTAGATAATCAAAACTTTTCCCCTGCTTCCTCATTTTAACTTATTTTGTACATTGTATATATTAAGTCAGAGAACTTTTCAAATATAGTTTAATAGCATTTAGAAATGTTTGACTACTAGGAAAAACTGATTGCTATGCCATACATTCAGAGTGCCCCTCCCCCTCGAGGCCTTGACTCGATTCACAAGTGACTTGTTAGTCTTGCAGGTAATCCAGGGACAGAGATTTGTAGGACTTGGACTATGATAGGAGCGGTCTCCTGGGATTAGAGCGTGTGTATTTCAAAACCACTTGAGACAGGCTTCCTGGTGCCTCCTGATTGAGGTGTGGTTTCATCATGACAGATCTGCTGTTGTAAAGGTAGTTGTTGTATGAATTAATTCAGAGCTGTATCACAGCTTCAAACTCAAACTCGACCACAAACTTTCCCAAGTGGCCAGGCTTGACCAAACCGTAGCAGTTATTCGAATCTCCAATTCTCAGTCCTTAATTCAAGAGCTGGTTATGAAAAATGTTCACATTGATCCAACAGTATTTTGTGAAGACATTTGTATGTTTCTTCAGTCTGCTTATATAAAAAGAAGTGTTCTGCCTTTAGCTGAAAATGAGTAACCATGACAACTGTCTTTTGTTGTTTTCTAGAGTTCTATTTCTCAACAACAACAGCAACAAAATGGGAACATAGATGACATTTGTTCAGCTTTTTACTAAAGATGCCTAAAGCTGCAGTGTTTCTTTTGTTTTGTGTGACCTGACCAATGTTTGATTTCCTGTGGCTGTGAGGTGGGAAGCCATGTGAAACATACCGTGCTGTCTGTGGGTTAGACCAGACGGGGCTCACTGAGGGATGCTGGTGGAGGGGGTGGTGTGTACACGTGTCAGAACTCTGCCTTCGTCAGGATGGAGCGGAGGCTCCCTCTCAGGTCCTTCCCCATTTTCCGTCCCTTCACACGTGCAGTGTGTGCGCTCGGCCATAGACTCCTTTCTAAAGCTGCATATGCTTTCTGGGTCTGACGAGGACACTGGCTTGACAGTCCCCACCGATGGTTTCTAGGCTACTTGCTTAAAAGTTTTCGTGAAGATGCACCAAGACATGGCCATTCTGCTGTGGAGAGAGAAAGGAAACTTTTGATGATGAAACAATAAAGATTTTAAATATCCATTGTAGCTTGTGGATGTTTTCATAGTTAAAGCTCAGTCTCGTGAGTTTAATAATATGACACGTGCCCATGGCCTCCACACTTGAGAAGCTGAGGATGAACAGTCCAAGGCTACATGGGGCTAGGTGGGACCTTGTCTAAGAAAAAAATCAAAAATAGTAGTGCGCTAGGAAGCAAGCGCGCTGGCCGATCAAATGGAAAGTGAAACCGTAGTAACAATGGTGCCACAAGGCCCTGTGACCTTGAGTGGTGATAAATGAGCTGCCACTGTGCCGTATTTACATTGAGTACTTGAAGACATGAGTGCAGGTTAGCTCTGGTCTGTGCATTATACCCCAGGGCACTGTGCAATGGCTATAATCGGCTAGAAGATCAAATTCCTGTCTCTTCCATACAAGCTCCTGTTGTCCTCCGGTGAAGATAGGCACTCCTGTTAGAAGAACTGTGGGCTGAGGGTGTGGCTCTCCACTTACCCAACCAGGATAAACTAAATCCTATACCTTTTCAATATACTTGGGCTTTCTTGTAGTATTTTGCTTTTTCATTGGTTAATAGGGACTATAGGGGAGGCTCAGTGAGTCAAGCCACTAACAACCTGAGTTTAGTCCCAGGGACGCACATGAAGCAAGGAGTGAACCAACTCCTCCAAGTGGCCCTCTGACCTCCACACACTCGCCATGACACACATTGACCCACACGTGTTTGCACACGCATTCATTTCTTTAAGTTACAAACCAGCAAGATAACTCAGTAAAGCCTGACAACCTGAGTTCAATAACAAAACCAAGGTGGAAGGAGCGAGCTGGGCCCTGGGGAGATGGCTCCAAGGTTAAGAGTGTTTGTTGCTCTTGCAGAGGACTGAGTCTGGTTCCCAACACCCACTTGACGGCTCCTAACCGCTAACCGTTCATACCATCCATAACAGTTCCAGGGATCTGAATCCCTCGTCTCACCTCTGTAGGAACAGCATGCAAACATCGTGCATACATAAATGTAGACAGAGCACTCATACATATAAATCTTTTGGGGGGGGCGGTTGAGACAGGGTTTCTCTGTGGCTTTGGAGGCTGTCCTGGAACTTGCTTTGTAGACCAGGCTGGCCTTGAGATCTGCCTGTCTCTGCCTCCCAAGTGCTGAGATTAAAATGTGCGCCACCTCACACACACACACACACATACACACACATACACACCCGGCTACATATAAATCTTTTTAAAATATTTTAAAGGTAGAGAACTGACTCCCTCAAGTTGACCTCTCATCTCCAGATGTTTGCTGTTAAAAATATAACCCCACATCCACTAATAATAAAATTTTAAATTTTTTTTCTGTTTTTAAATGACTATAACCTGAATTTGGGGGAGAGATTGTGTTTCTGCTCCCTTACAATTGACACTAGCACTCCTTAATTTAGTTGGTTTCTGATTTGCTCATGTGTACTAGGTTAGGAAGAGTGGAACACTGTTGGGGAAAATGGGATTATCAAATGCTCTGAATGGATTGGGTAACACTTGTGAACATCACGATGCAACACCATGGCCTGGGCATCTCTCACCTCCTGTACAAGTTAATTGCTTTATGAACAGTGTCCTTGCTGCGGACATAGTTCTTAACTGTCCAGATAATCTCTGATGGTGAGTGATAAGAGCTAGTTGCAGAACACCAGCAGAAACCTGCAATTAAGCTCCCTACACTTTAAGGTAGGGGCTGTTCTATGCTTGATTCTCAAGACCTGATTTCTCAGGAAGTATCTCCTCGCCATTTAGTTCATCATTACAAAGTGTGTAGGGCTGAAGGTTTGGGTTTTTTTTCAATTACGTTTAGTGTGTGTGTGTGTGTGTGAGAGAGAGAGAGAGAGAGAGAGAGAGAGAGAGAGAGAGAGAGAGAGAGAGAGAGAGAGAGAGAGCTTGTATGTACCATGACATCTAGAGAACAACTTGGCAAGGGTTGGTTCTTTCCCTTCACCAGGAGGGGGCCTGGACATTGAACTTGGATCATCAGGCTTGGTATCAGGCACTCTCACCAGCTTGCTGGCCATGGAGTTTATAATTACTTTAATTTGTCTCAAGATTATTTTAATTTCGTTTACTTGTGTGTCCCAGGGGTGAGGGGAAGTGTGTGTGCATGTGTGTGGGCACCTACTGAGGCCAGGAGAAGGTGTGGGATTCTCTGGAGCTGGGGTCCCCAGGGGATAGTGAGTCACCTAATGTGGGACCTGGGAATTGAACTGGGTCCTCTTCAAGAACAGGCTTCATCTTAGCCACTGATCCATCTGCCCAGACCTCTAAAGTAATTTTTTACTTTGGTTTGTTTTTTGTTTGTTGTCCTGGGACTCAGACCCGTAAGCCTTGAGCTTGCTAAACAAGCACTCTGCCATTGAGGTAAGTCCCAAGCCCACTGAGATTTATCTTTACAAGAAAATAACTACCCTGTTTTGCTTCCAGTTTCCTGAAGATAATTTGGTAACTATCCTTGGGTTTAGAACCACATGTTATAGTTTAAAAAAAAAAATGAGACGAGGGGGGAGAGAGGGGAGGGAAAGAAGGAGGGGGAGAGAGAGAGAGAGAGAGAGAGAGAGAGAGAGAGAGAGAGAGTCAGATATTGCTAAACTTTAAATTTCTGTAAAATAAAATTTTAAAAAATGGTTTCCGAGCCGGGCGGTGGTGGCGCACATCTTTAATCCCAGTACTCGGGAGGCAGAGGCAGGCGGATCTCTGTGACTTCGAAGCCAGGCTGGACCGATAGCCTCCAAAAAACAATACAGAGAAACCCTGTCTCGTAAAAGCCAAAAAATAAAAAAAATAAAATGATTTCCATGAGACATGAGAGGTTGGGACCATAAAATATTCTTTCTTTTTGAGTTAAAACTGTTTTCTTGTTTGTGTTCATTTGCAGTACTGACAAGTGAGAGGTTAATTTTCAACCTCAGGCCCATAGTTACCAGGGTTTGTTTAGTTCAGAGTCAAATGGGATAACATAGGAAAGAATAAGCCCGCGTGCTCCCATGTACTTGTTGTTCTAAGATTTATTCATTTTTACTTTATGTGTATGACTGTCTTGCTTGCGTGTATCTGAGTATACCACATGTATGCAGTGCCAGTGGGGGCCAAAAGAGAGGGTTGGATTACCTGAAACCAGAGTTACAGATGGTTGTGAACTCCCTATGTGGGTGTTGGGAACCTGGGTCCTCTTCAAGAGCAATGAGTATCCTTTTTTGTTTGCTCATTTGTTACCTTTTGAGACAGGGTCTCTGTGTAGCCCTGGCCATCCTGGAAATCTCCATGTAGAATCTGCCTCACGAGTACTGGACTTAGCAGCATACGCCACCAAGCCAGGCCTGCAGGAAGTACTCTCAACTGGACAGCCATCTCTCCAGCCCTCCATGCAATTGTTAATAGCATTGTTATTTAATAATGGAGCTGCAATGTACTTGGCATTTAATACAGAAGCATGTTTCTCTTGGCAGATGGCCATTGCATAATGTCATGTAAATGTAGCTGTGGCATAAAAATAAGCGTAGATTTATGAACTGCCCCCCTCCTTCCAAGTGGAACAGATGTTTTCCTGAGAGCTAGGTTTACTTCAAAGATTTGAGGCCATTTTTTAAACCGTCCACAGTTAAAATAGCTTCCTGGGATTAACTGAAGACAGGCAGACTGACGCAGCTCTGAGAGGCTCGGTCAGTGGAGTGCTTACTGTGTGTTCATGGACCAGGGTGGACACCCAAGCCCCACATAGAAAGCCAGGTGAGCCAATGAGTGCCTGTAATCCCAAAAGGCCAATCCCTGGCACACACCGGCCAGCCAGCCTAGTCAAAACTGAGTTCCAGGCTCATTGAGAGATTCTTATCTCAAAAACTAGAGGGATAGGACAATTGAGGAAGAACCTGACATACCTGTGACCTCTATGTGGCCTAACACCCACACACCAACATGCACTCACAAAAGTGTACACATAGCAGGCATTCATGCAGCACATCCTTGAGGTCTAGTTAACCAGTAGAGCTGTGAAAGCTAAGGACACTGGTCTCCCATCAGGAGAGGGATATGATATTGAACCAAGCATCCTATTAGAAGTGACATTTGTCATCAACATGAAAGGAAGGGTAGTTCTTTTCAATTATGTTGCTCAGAATAGTAATTTCAAAGTAGTCTTATTAAAACTTGAAGTGTGGCATTGTAAATGTCTGTAGTTCCAGGGCTGGGAAAACTCTTGAAGGTAGATTGCAAGTTTGAGGACAGCCTGAGCTCCAGAGACCCTCAAGAAAACTAAGCAAATAAATACATAAATTGAAGCACATAGTCCCCCATTTACCTAATATCTATTTTGGGGTGAGATAAGACACCCCAAAATAGGTTAAAGGATGCTAGCGCCTGCCTGTGTACAGAGAGAAATATGGAGACTCCCAGAAGAGAGGATTTGAGAAGCCGTGATGATGGTAGGGTGGTGTTTAATTCCAGGCTCTGCCAGCAGGCATGCAGGACTGTGTGTGTTTCTTTTAGTGTGTACTAGGATGAATTATCACTAGCAACCCGGACATGGAGGTGACACTTGTAATCCCAGGGCTCAGAAAATGGAAGCAGGAGGATGAAGATTTGAGTCTAGACTGGGTTGCATAGTGAGATGCTTTCTCATAACAGTCAAAAGGTGTAAAGAAAAAGTGAGTTGACTTAAAACCAATTTAAAGAAAAGTTAGGCTGGAGAGATGACTCAAGAACTTGCAGTGTGAGCATCGGGACCTGAGTTCAATCACCTGCCCCCACATAAAAGCAGGGAACAGCAGCTCTGGGAGGCAGAGAGGGGCAAGTGGGTTCCTGGGCTTGCTGGCCAGCCAATCTAGTTGGATCCCTGAGCTCAAGGTTCAGTGAGGGACCATCCCCAAAAATAAGACGGAGAACAACTTAGGATGGTTCCCAATGCTCACACATGTAGCTGTGAACACACACACACTAATACATGGTTTTTTTCTTTTTTAAAGAAAAAGAGTAATTATGTGTGGT